ACACACACACACACACACACACACACACACACACACACACACACACACACACACACACACACACACACACACACACACACACACACACAGGCCGCCGTGTTGCCATGGAAACAGCGGGAGTCAGTCAGCATAAAGCAGGAAGGACCCTGTCGGACTGTTAATGTGGAGTCCAGGGCGGCGGGGGAGGAGCTGTTTTATTAACCTTTGACCTCATCAATCCTCATCTCTTCAGTAATATTTGACCTCTGACCCCTCCACAGGTTCACACTCTGATGTTCTAACTTTGTTTGATTAGGACCACATCAAAAGAAGAACTTTTCGTTTGATGGTTTAACGGTTTGTTTCCAGTTTGGCACAAATAAAACATTTAGGAGCAAAGCATGATGGGAGTTTCTGTTCACAGCTTCATCAGCCTGAAACGGTGAAACACAGCTGATTTTCACTAAAACATGCTGRTAATTAGATTCACAAAGGACAATCATGAAATCTGTAAAATAAACTTGATCCGGCTCGTCTCAGTGTTTCAGAAACAGGTTCTRATGGACCCAGCTGTTGCTTTAAAATCAAGATTTTCTTCTTTTCAGGACGTTTTGATTTTATAAAAAAAGTTTTTCTTCCCTCAGATGGACTGTTTGTCTCTGCAGTCCTGCTAAAAAGACTAGATATTTCAGGAAATAGTCCSCACCCACCACATTTGTTCTGATGACTCTTGAATAAAATAAAAATAAACAAAAGTTGTAATATTGACAGTTTTTTTCAGAACCAGATTTTTCTGGTTTGGGTCTTGTTGGTCGTTCAGCATGAAGACTGTAATGAAGATTATGTGTAATAAAGTCAACAATAATCTGTAATAAAGATGAAATTAAATGTAATAATTTACTGAAAAAGCTCCTCTGAAACATCCTGAAGCCCAAAGGAAACAGGTCCAGTTGCCTTCAGCAGAACCCAACAGCTTTTTCTCTTCATGTATGAAGGATGGAAGTGGAAATGGGAGACTGTAGCTATCGCAGCAGCGTTCCCTTGCAGCCCACCTCACAAACCCAGTGAATGCACAGAGAGCGCCACGTTCACATTTGAGCACACATTTATTGAAACAAATCTGTTGAAACTGTAAAAAACATGGAATGGAAGGAACACTGTACAAAGAAGCAGACTACATGACCCAGGAGGTCTGAGCGTTAGCGGACTAAATGAGCCCCCCGCCGAACGAGGAGGCGGATCCTGGAGGGTCTGGACGCTGCGACATGGTGATGAGAATGAGAACACATGCAGGTGTGTGTTTGGGAGTCTTTGGTCAGTCTCTTCAGAACAACAACACACAATAACAGAAACAGCAGGTGAAAAAGCACAAACAAAACAAAACATTGGACACGTCTTTCACATGTATGTACAGTCTGAACACSTGATTGTCTCCACAGTTTCCCATGATCACAGGCCTGTCAAACTCAAACAGCAGTTGGCTACAAAAGTTCGTCACAATCACATTTAATGGCCCTGGATCACCCCAACCCCACTCTTTTTTTACATTAAATAGAAAAGACCAAGGCACTGTGGGTAAGGCTAAAGTGGGAGCCTGGAAAATTACCTGCCATTAATCTGTGCAAACAATTGACTTTTAGCCCCGCTGATTGTGGACACACGGGCAAAATGAAAAGTCGTATTTCAGCTGAGCTGACAGGAAGTGTGGAGGTTAAGAAATGGTTGCATTCAGTCTTAGTGTACCTTTTCCTTCTGTGAAGCTTTTTTCCACAACCTCACTAAGCCATTCTTCTTGTTCTCCTTCTGTTCTCTTTCACTGCTCCCTGACTGAGCTGAAATTACCTTCAGTTACTCTGAGCTGGATGGAAACTCTCTAAAGTGGTGCTCAGACAGTGGACTTCCTGGACAAAGYGAGTCGAAAAACAATAAAGAAAGAAAAATAAACTCAGGAATTCACAGTCACTCTTTATCTTCAACAAGCCCATCTGAGCAAAAAGAGCAGCTTTAAACCGCTTAGCTCTAAAGAAATAACAAAAAACAAGAACACCATCAGACAAAATGAGGATGTCAGCGTGAAGCTTTCAATAACCACAGAAACAAAATGAATTCAAATTAAACAAAAAGCAACCTTCATTTAAACTTCTGTAAAATGGTGAAAATAAAAAAATTAAAAACATCAAGAAGACAAGGATGGACCTATGTGGGATTTCCAATTTCAGCAAATGAATAAATTTATTCTTCAGAAGCCAAACTTGTATTCTTCTTTAAAATAAGGCATCTTCTGTAAATCAACAGATACTTTTATTWAAAAAGAGTATTTAACTGTAAAACATAAACAAAACCATCTAAATCTGAGCTGTAAGTCTGCTCTGTAAACTGGTAAATATTGGGAAGCCCATATTTGGTCGATCCTTCATTTTAGGTCCATAATGAACTGAAAACCATAAACTAAACAAAACTTTGTGAACAGAAGCAAAATAAAAACAAAATGAATAAAAGCCATTTGGAAGTGGGTGATGTGCAAAGAAATCAGTGCGGCTTTGGTGGAAGAACAAGTCCCAGTGAGACTACCACACCCGGTTGGTCCAATAGATGTTCTCCCTGGGGTACACCGTGTTAGCGTAGTCTCCTACCTGTTTGTTGCTGTATTTTGGTGGATTGGCCTTGTAGCTGTAATCCGAATATTGGTCGGAGCCTGTGGAGTTGTTGTCGCCTGTGCCTACGAAGGTATTGGTGGCGGGGAGGTCTTGAACGGCCTGGTGCTTCTTGGAAGCAGAGGGTGACTGTGGCTGGAGTTGGATAGACGGCAAGGGAGAGTTGGACCGGTAGTGACGGCCCAGGTCTGGACTTCCAGGTGGGTAATTCAGGGGCAGGTGGATTCTGGGACTGTCATTGACGTCATTGATGAGGTTGAACTTGAGGCCTTTCTGCAGACTGGCCTCCTCGTCTTCCTCCAAAGGTTTAGCGGGTTTTGGAGCTTTGTTTTTCTTGTTCTTTTTCACTTTGCCGTTTTTTGGTCCCTGTTTGGGAGCATACAGGTCCTTGCTCTCCTTCTTGCCGGCCTGATAGCCACTCTTAGCATCTCTCTGCAGCCAGTATCTGATAACCACCACGGCCACAATGATCAGAATCACAACAGCAGTGCCTGCGAGGATGGCGTACAAAACACTGGTCCGCTGTTGATTAAAGGAGTAGTCTGGATCTCCTGCTATGTCTCTGTCCAGAGGTGTATAGAGACTGTGACCAACCAGTGCCTCAATGAGGGAGACGTTAGATCTGGTCTCATTAATAAAGACATGGACCAGTGCGGTGGTGTGACGAGGAGGTTTGCCTCGATCGCTGACCTTCACTACCAGCCGGTGAAGCCCGTTGTGCTTGCCAGGTAAAGTCTGCGTCAGTGTGATCTCCCCACTGCTGGATGATATCTGAAACAGGCCGTAAGGGTTTCCACCTGTGATGGAGTACAACAGCTCAGCATTAGGTCCAGCGTCAATGTCCTCGGCCTCGACTACCTCAACTGGTGCGTCTGGAGGTGTCATGGGTGACAGGTATATGTAGGAAGAGTTGGAAGGTTTGGTGACGTAAGGGGCATTGTCGTTTTCGTCCAGGACATTGATGGTGACACCGACAAAGGAGGATCGAGGGGGTTCACCAGAATCCACAGCCTTCAGACGGAAGGTGTAGGTGCTTTCCTTCTCACGGTCAAAAGAAATGCTGGACAGGATGGTTCCCGTGCCATTCTGGATGATGAATTTTCCATTGTCTGGTTCCACAAACAGAGTCACCCGGGCGTTCTCCCCCTTATCAGCATCATTAACGGTTACTACTCCAACAGGATTTAGTGGAGGCATGTTCTCGATGACAGAGAAGCTGTAGCCGTTCAGTGTAAATTTGGGGTCGTTGTCATTGCGGTCAAGAACATTCACCACCACTGTAGCAGTCCCAGTTTTACTTGGAACGCCCTTGTCTGCAGCTGCAACGTGAAACTCGTAGTGCTCTCTGTCCTCTCGATCCAGCATGTTCTTTACACGAACCTCTCCTGTGTTGGCATCAACCTCAAAGAGCCTGGCAGCCCAGAGCTCAGTGATGCTATAAATCAGCTCTGCGTTACTGCCGCTGTCTGCGTCTGAGGCCACAACATCGAGAACTTTGTCACCTGGTTGGTTGCCTTCTGCAAAGTCCACTTCAAGCAAAGGAGGAGAAAAACTGGGCGTGTTGTCGTTAATGTCAGTGACCTGGACTTTGAGGGAGTTGGTGCTAGATAGAGCTGGGTTTCCAGAATCCACAGCAACGATTTCAATCCTGTAATCCTTAATACGTTCATAATCCAGCAGAGTTGTTGTCTGCAAGAAGTATTTTCTCTTCCGATCGCTGGCAGACTCGCTAGCAGGTCTGAGCTGAAACGGTACATCTCCTGCAACCACACACGTCACCACAGCATTTTCCCCCTCGTCACGATCAGACACCTGGACCAGTGCCACCGGTGTACCAATCGGCATGTCCTCAGAGATGTTGGCCACGCCTTCCTGATGGATTACCAAACCAATACCACGGATTTCGATGGATGGTGAATTGTCGTTCTGGTCCTTGACGGTGATTGTCACCAGAACCTTGGAACTCCTTGAATTGGGTCCTCGATCTCTGGCAACCACAAAGAACTTGAGGAAAGTCTCTTCTTCTCGGTCCACCAGGCCTTTGACRTAAATGATTCCTGTAGAACGATCGATGCGCAGCAGCCTCTGGACAGTCTCAGATGCCTGATGTAGGCTGTAGTCGATCTCYCCGTTGATCCCGGTGTCTGCGTCGTTGGCTCGGACCTGAAAGTACAGTAGAAGAGGATTATATCCCCAGGTTAACGTTGTCTGGATATGCAAGGATTTAAGAAAAAGAAAATCATTAAGTTACTGTATATTGTGCACTACTTTATGTATTAATTTTTTCTACAATCACAGTGTTGAAGTTTGACTCATTTTAAGTCAATTTTCTGTTAATTTTCTGCGTTAGCCTCAACATCCCACTACCTTATTAAAAGCTCAGTTTCATTTTAATGATCTTTTACTTACAAAAGTCACAGAAGATTTAACAACGCAGCTCTACGAAGCTGTGGATGTTCTCTCAAGGGGCCAAAGGTTTCTGCTGTTTGTAAAACAACAGTTTATCAAAGCAGCATGCACGCCCTCGCACAACAACGTCTAACCGCCACACAGCGCCTCGTTGGCGTCTAATGGGCAGAGGAGTGAACGATAATGTTCCTCTCATTATGAGGGAAGGTCCGGCTCCTCTGGGCCCATTACAGGACCAGAGAGAACAGACCCACGTCGGCCACGGTCTGCTTTCACCCGTCCAAAACTGAAGTAAATGGAGGTGATTACTCAATCAGGTTGAAAGAGCAGTCAGCAAAATATCAGTCAGGCTGAGYTCGTTAGGATCTACAGAACTGATGCTTTTTAATTATGTCCATTCAACGTCACGCTCGTCATTAAAATGTAAGTTAAATAAAAGGAAACCGGAYGGCGTCTATAAATACATCAGGTGCTGCAGCCTCAGCAGTTCTTCAGCCTTCACCTGGGACAAGCAGTAATGTAATTAGGTTTTTAAATCTTAAAGCCAATTATTCCTCTAAAGCATACGGGAATCTGTGCCAAGCTTGCACTCAGCAAAATAATGTCTTCAAAAGTCCTTAAAAAGAAGGAAAAGTAAATCTGTCCGTGTTGTGCTTTTATTAAACCTGTACGAGCAACAATAAAAGTCCTGTTTGAGCCAAGGACACAGAAACGTTCCTACYGTCCAACGTGGAGGGACACATTCTGATTTGTTTTTAATCAAAGTGTAAAAATATCACATCGTTTTAAAACCTGACGTTTAACTCAGATCAGACAGGAAGTGAAGCTCGGACCACAACAAAAAAATAAAATCACATAAAGTCAACTTGTTTTTATGATTTTATCTAAAACTAGGTCCAAACAGCAGAAACAAACAGTGTTTATCTGCTGGTTACTGATCAGCCAGGTTGTCCAGAACCAGACCAGCAGAGTCTGAAGGTTGGAGGATTAATAATTAATCAACATGAAACTGTGTTTGCACCAGTTTCTCACTTCATAAAATACAGTCGAAAGGATCACCTGTTCAGAATTAACATGTATTTATTTATTTAAAATAAATTTACACATTTTTAATCCATGATCAATCAATGAAGACTCACCTGAATCATCTCATTAATAAATAATGTTTTTACATCTAAATGGACTTTAGTTTGTCTCTTGTGATCATTTAAACAGCTTTTATCAATAAACCTTTTAACTTTTAAAACATTTGAAACTTTAAAAGGAAAACAGCATTATTAATAATTATAGACTGTCRTGTGTATCGATTAAAAAAGACTTTTAAAGATGAAGTGTTGGCTGAGCTCTGACCTTTAAACAGTTTTTACTGATAATCTGTAAGAAGATGAACTCTGGATGATAATCTGATGTTTAACTTCTGTCTGTTTTGGTTCAAAAATCCATCTGAAGTCTTTTCCCTTTAAAATCCCACTGAGAATCAGAACCAGCTGGGCCTGGTTCTGGACCTACAGAATGAAGCAGCAGAACAATGGGCCTCATGCAAGAACCGTTCATACACACAGATTTGTTCTTAAGTTGT